ATTACAATAAACTAAGAGTTAGTACACACCATTTTAATCAAATCTTAGATATTCCTAATATAACGAAATGTACTGGTACTTCAATACGCAATTTATTGAATTATGTCAACCAGCTTTGAAAGATTCAGAGCAACCATACCAATATTGTGATACATTGTTAATATGTATTTTGTATAGAAAGCTTGATCATTATACTGTGCGTTTATTTTACTTAGAAAGGAAAACAGCTGACACAATGCCTGACTTGCAATCCTTTATAAAATTTGTAGAAAAAATGGCCTTGGCACTTGTAACGCTTACGCTAGCTTCCATTAGCGCTCCGCTTGCGAAATACAAGGGTTCATCGCCTGCCTGCAGTTTTGCTTAAGTTAATAAGCATAAGAAAATAAAATGTAAGTATTACAAAACATAATATCGCCGTGTTCATGCTTGCCATAATTTAAATCGGTTAATTTTAAAGATAGAAATAAAAAATTATAAATTATGTACTGTTTGCCTTAATAAAGATCCCGGAAAGTGTAGGTTCAACTTTAAATGTGCTATTTGTAAGTCCAATTCATAACTCCCTGTTGGGCGGGGGTTAATCTACTTCTACTTCTCGCATTTTGACATTAACATTAGGACTAGATTAACGCCTATTCAGCTCTCCCGCCCGACGAGACTCTGAAGGAGAGCGAAGGTCGTGTTGATCTCCAGGGTAAGTTTGAGAAGTTCTTCCTTCACGTGGTTTCCACCTGTTATTTGGTCAAGTTCGATAAGAAGTCCCCAAAGACCAGTCCAGAAAATCTGTGAAGCTGGCAGTGAAAGAAAAGAAGCTCAGATTCAGTGCTGTATCTGGCTACGCTTGTGTAGGAATTCGCAATCCGAGTCCTATAAGCGTGGAGCAGATGTGAGTCGTCCACCGAGCACTGACGAAGGCTATCGCTAATACGGCCTGGGGGCGCACCTGGAATTGGGACCAAAAAGACAATAATTAAAAAGCTAACGTCAGTAACCTCAGTTCCCCGTGACCATGGGTGCTGCAAAGCACCCAAAACGTCGGGTATTAAAAATAAAATAAATAAACAAATAAACGCGATAAAATCCGTAAAAGTAGTTTTAACCAATGTGTATGTTTGCGTAAATATAAGAAATCGTTATAACATAGATATATTAATATTAAGCGAAATAAACATTAAGGAAGAAGAACTTCCCTAAGGCATAAAATTGGGAACAGAGGGAAACTGAATCAGCAATAGAGTAAGAAAACAGTAAAAAAAGTCACGAAATTGGCGATAATTCAACAATTGCCTCGGTAAACTGCTACGTTAAGCCATTGCTCTTGTGTCTAATCTCTCTATGGTCATAAAAACAAAACAAAAGCATTTACATCCACACACATGACATAATTCGTGGTGAAATTGACCATCTCAGTATAAGTCGTCAGAGCAAGTCAAATAGCTCTAGCGACGTACTATGAGAGTGAGTCTGACTATTGGTGATCGTGCAATTTTTGTATGGCTTTACCAATTAAGGTCATATCCACAAAATATTTTACGACACGACAGTTAAGAGCTAAAAACTAATAGGTGACGCTGTAACCGAGTTAAAAAAATCCTACATTTGATTACCAAATTTATTAACATTCACAATTTACATGGTACAGCCATGCTACGGATATATTGTGGTTGTCGATGCATGGGACGGCTTGACCTGCGAAGAAATACGCTTTCCAATAATATCAGAGAAAAATAGCAGTTATATACTTCAGTGTTTCTAACGATGGGTGTAGAGAACTGGAGACCTTTTTTACGGGAAATGAGGTTTTCCATTTTACTCCGCAGGGATAACAACGCATCTGCATTTCGATTCTTAACCGAGGATAGATGTGGATGCCTATGTGTCACAGCATGCACTTACCACCAAGTAGATTCTGTGCTCGTTTTTCTCCCTTATCATATAGAATCGATTAGTTGTTTTCCGTTCATGTTATTACTAAATTCATCACGCACTTACAGTTCAGGGGTTCCGACGTTGATTTTATGTAAATTTATATAAACATAGATAACTAAACCAGAGGTTAAAATTAACTCATAAGTAAGACGTGATGTAAGCAGCTTTGAATGTTTGCTTAGTTCATTTCTTATTCCCCCGCCGGGCGTATCATACCATTAATCTTCGCGTCTTCACCCTCGTTAGACCTCAGCGCTCTTCCCCAACAGCGAATATTATGACTGTGATCCGTTTAGATAAAACTTTATTTGCTCTTCAAAAATTTATGGTTTTATTAATTGTGTTTCGCCCCTAACCTGACACGCATTTTCAGCTTTGTATTTTATTAAATTGTTTTTTCTGAGTGTAATTGATTGTAGGAGTTTTGGTTGGGAAAAGATTATATTCTTTATTATTCTAGGTATATCAGTGCCCTAGGGTTGACTGGCAGGGAATATTTTCCTTTTGTTTAGTTCAATCAATTAAAATATTTCAATTAAAAATATTATGTAATGTTCCCTGTGAAAAAATAATTATTTTAACGAGATATTGTTATACTTATACTAAAGTTAACTTCTAAAACGCCAAGCATCCAAATTTGACTACTTCGATATTCCGTCAAAATTCAAGAGGTCAAATTTGACCGCACCCACCCACAAAAATTTAATCCAAAAAAATTTGTGATCATATCCTAGGCAGTTCAAACCATTACATCAGACTTGATAGACCAAAAATCCTCGCGAAAAAATATGGATGATAAGTGAAGATATTGAAATTATAAAACATCCTAATTTCAATAATGTATCAGGCTGAGTACTACCATCTGCTTGGAACCGTGTAATTAATTAAAACAAAAACAAAACTAAACCCAACCATACCACTGCAAAACTTCAAGACACAGTAAGTTCATTTTGCATAAATCGGACCATAAATAATAATTAAAAAGCTGAAGATAATACAGGTTAACCTATCAAACCCCAAATGGTCGGATCGAACCACGGCGATATTTTGTCAAATGCCAAGTGGTCAGATCCGACAACACCGCACTTTAACCCATAAATATTTATGTTTAGAGACTACTTTTCTGTGCAAAAGTTTAGCATTATAGAATCAATATAAAATTTTCTATCCTCTATCCGTGGAATGAAAAGTTAAGTAGTCTATGAATATTTATTTATAATATACGTTCATTTCGTACGTCATTTACGTGTGAATGTTATTGTGAAGATTTTTGGATTTTTTCTATTGTTTTATTAGTGTTCTAGTATAGTGTTTTATTATAAATTTATAATGAATGTTTTTGTGTAAATATTATTATTATTTATATTCTTGCGTAAATAATTTCGAGTAATATATATTGAAATAACTGTGATTTTCATGCTGTCGGCATCCGCTTGGTATATTTTTTTTTTTGTTATCAAAATACAGTAAAATCTTTTTGTTTAGATCAAAGGATATAGAATTTTGTAAAAATTTTATAATGCTAAATTTCTTCTTAGAAAAGTAGTGTCTAAATATAAGTTTTAATGGTGTTAAGTGCTGGGGGTGGGTGCGGTCGCATGCGACCGCTCGGAATTTACCAGGCGCATGGACTGCATGGGAATGTTATGGGGATTGAAGGGTTAATCTTAAAAGCGTGTTCAGTGGATATTTCTTTTCGCCCTTATGATGTTTGTGAATAAGTAAATGAGTCTGCCTTTGGTTCCTGTGCAGCGGTGTGGTTCAGTAAAGAACCAGTACATGAATCAATATTTTAAACTGATAATTCAGCATTCAAAACTTGATTTGGGTGGAGACAAAGTTAGATATTATTTTGCCTCATTTTATCCAATGGTTCATAAAATGTGACTATAAGCAGATAAATATAAATATACAGCGACATCGTACGGTTAAGGTAGATTTCAACTGTGAAAATAAATATAATTTAATGCGTGTGTACTATAATTTTCGTTAAAATTTAATATTAAATAATGAATATCAAGGTACATCGATCATTTTAAAAAAGACATTATAGTATTTTAATACTAGCAATGTAAAATACAGTATGTTTTTGTAGTTAAAGGGTGACATGTAAGAATATACCTGTCTAATTTGAAGTTTTCAAATATATTTTTCCAACATATAAATTAATTTGAGTCAGAAATCAATGTGTGCAATTTCTTTAACCATTTTATAGAATAAACGTAACAAACGAGCACACATTCCACCTGATGATAAATGGATTCTGAGACCCTTAAGCATCAACATCTGATTAAGAAGAATCAAAATTCAGATGCGTTGTAACATCTGAGGACTAAAATACAAATCCTCGTTTTCAGTAACAAGTTTTTTTTTTCATTTGGTGAGTGTAGAGATCCGATGAAAAAATCTGATGTTCTGTGAGAGTGTGTTTCTACCACGGTCGAGCCAACTCATTCATGCTATAACTATTATTATGCTACTCGTATTTTGGCGATAAACGACTATTGTGATTAACAATTTATATCGAATTGTAATTAAAAATGTCCAGTCGTGCCTATTATTTACTGTTGTCGCGGACATATTTTGGTGATTTTGTATCTTTATTTGTTCCGGGGTGACAATGTGGCTCTATTTCGTATAAAAATATTTGTATAATTCTGTCAAGTACAATAACAGTTGTAAACAATTTATACAATATATAAGTCCCACAGCCAGGCTAAGGCTTATTTCTAAAAGGGTTATGTAGCAATTTTATCGATAACGTATTACTCGGCTTCCTCTCTGCTCCCTTAACCCTAGATCACTAACCTTAAATCGGAGTAACACTATCACTAACCATTCGATTCACAGACTACGCAATGAAACGCAAATATTTTCAAAATCGTTGTTATTTACTTTATAAAAGAAACAAAAACTTGAAAGTCCTTTCTTTAAGGAATCAAACAAATCGATGAAAAATAAACAATATTAATTCTTACAACTATTACAAATAGGAACTGTGTGCTCTCCGCAAATGGCCTTTTTGCAGTATGTACAACAATATTTTGTCATACGCCTTTTTTTTTTGCTTAGCAAAATCCACATATTTTTCTTGTTTTATGTAGCTCTTGTACACAGCTTTCTTGTGGCACTTCAATGTTGAGAATATCTCCAATACTCTTTTTCACATCACGCTGCAAAGTCACCGTATTGTAGCGCTCGAGTAGCCAGGGTTTTATTAGTTCATCTGCCATTTGCAAGGCAAATTCTCTCCTCTTGAGCGGTTTCTTATGGTCTCGGATCATATTGCATACGTATACAGCATACGCGTTTATGATACTAATGTTTACAGTATCATATCATAGTTTTGCGATCAGTGCTCATGATAGAACACATTTGATCCACGGTATCTACAGCGCCCTTTGTAGAATTATAGAAATGAATAATTTCCGGCTTCTTGGTAACATCATTGACAGTGGGTTGATCATGGGTGGTTGATAAAAGGTAAACAATCTTGTTAGACTTGGGCTTGTATGAAACCATGGTCATCTCGTTATCGAAGCAAAACATTGAAGTGCCCACTTGCCGTGCTCTAGAGTTTTTTATTTCCTGGGGTATTTCCCGTTTGTTGCTTCGCAATGTACCAACAATTGTCAATTTATACGGAGCCTGGAGCATATCGGAAGCAAGAGGAATGGATGTAAATCAATTGTCCATAGTTAGTTTCGATTCGAACCATGTATGGGTTTGGTGATCTCCTTCACCAAATAGCTCGCAAGAGGTTCGATTCCTGGATTAGTTACCTTGCCTAAATATGGAATGGCATTGCATACATATTTTGTGTTCCGAGTCTGCCATCATAATAAGCTTAAGACCGTATTTATTTGGCTTATTGGGTATGTACATCCTAAATGGACAACGTCCTCTGAACCCAACAAGCTGTTCGTCAATAGTTATGTATGAACTGGGCTTATACCATTTTACACAGTTGCTTATGAATGCCTCCAAATTGAATGGAGCAAGCTTGTCAGAGGCCCTCTGCTCTGTTCTTGTTGTCTTGTCAAAACTAAGGCATCTCAGTAAGAAATCAAACCTATCAGCACTCATGCACGCTTTAAAAGTAATTGCACTCCGTTTGTGGTCAAATAGTGTTCTAGTGGGCAAGTGGTTACTTTTTATAGCCGCTGATTGTATCAAGAGACCCAGTAAAGCCGTCACTTCGTTAGTGGAAGTATGCGAGTTGGTATACTTCTCCTGTTTGTATTTAGACTTCTTGATGTCAATCTCCGTGTTGGTATAAGTAACCATCTCATTGATTATTTCATGAGAAATGAACTGGAGAAATAATTCTCTGGGGTCTGTTATTTCTTTGGCTACACCTGCAGGTTCAGGGACTACGTGAATCACATTACGAGAAGATGTTCTTGCTCGTGGATTGCGAGGTCTAGTAGACCATTTATAACCGCTCTTTCCATAAAGGTGATTTTTATTGGAACGGATCACAAATGATGACTCAGGCTCCTGCGGCTCCTGCTGATGCTGGATGGACTCAGACCCCAACTGACCTATATCGGATGTATTATCATCTGAATATATTACAATTCTTCGCTTACGTGAGCGCGTGCTGACGAAAATCTCCTCATCGGATGACATCGAACCTTCTTCCTCACTTTCATCAGTTCCTACGTGGGCATCTGCCACCATATTATCTCCTTTTTCCGATTGTTCCTCTGCTTCATCGTGGTTAGTTACTCGATGTCTGACTCACACAACCAACGTCCAATGCGCTCCTCATCTCCTCTCAAATCCATCTAAAAATAAAATTGAAAATCAAAACAATATCCTAAAATGGTCCAAAAATATTCATAAAGTCTGCAAAATAAATTTTCCCTTTACTTTTATTCCACAAAATAATAGCAAATTATTCCTATTTTACAATTAATAGCTAAAAATTCGAGTAGCGTAAAATATAATAAAAGTAATCTTGAAATTAGAAAAATATTATAACTAAAAATAATGTTACACAGTCACTAACCTTTCGTCTGTCTGACGACGCGACGGCTGTATGGCTGATGTACCGAGCGGGGGAGGGATTGCGGGTGCCGCGAACCTACCGAACTATGAAATGCGGGGGGTATGCGTAGTCTGAGAGACGAATGCTTAGTGATCTAGGGTTAAGATGCCTTTATTTAATGATTTCTTATATTTACGCGAACACTTCACATTGATTAAAACTATTTTTACGGATTTTATCGCGTTTATTTTACTATTATTTTTTTATTTCCGACGTTTCGGGCGCTTTTCAGCACCCATGGTCACGGGGGACTGAGATGACTGACGTCCCGATTTCATTGTTAAACCCGGAGTACCTTCAGCTTTTTTAATTATTGTTTATGGTCCGATCTATGCAAAATAAACTGACTATGTCCTGAGGTCTTGCAGTGGTATGCTTGTGTTTAGTTTTAATTTTATTGATTATAGGATCCCAAGCAGGTGGTAGTACCCAGCCTCCTTCTCTATTGAAATTAGGATGTTTTTTAATTTCAATAGCCTCACGTATCATCCTTGGTAGGAATGGGTGTTCTTTCGCGAGGATTTGTGGTCTATCAAGTCTGATGTAATGGTTGGGGCCGTTTAGGATATGATCGCAAATTTCACCGTTCACTTCAACGTTCCGGGAAGTCTGCAGTTTGATAGACCACAAATCCATTATATCAGATTTGATAGACCACAAATCCTCGCGAAAGAACACCGATTCCTACCAAAGATGATACGTGAGGCTATTGAAATTAAAAAACATCCTAATTTCAATATAGAAGGAGGCTGGGTACTACCACCTGCTTGGGATCCTATAATCAATAAAATTAAAACTAAACCCAAGCATACCACTGCAAGACCTCAGGACATAGTCAGTTTATTTTTTGTTTATGGTCAATTAAAAAAGCTGAAGGTACTCCGGGTTTAACAATGACATCGGGACGTCAGTCATCTCAGTCCCCCGTGACCATGGGTACTGGAAAGTGCCCGAAACGTCGGAAATTAAAAATAATAGTAAAATAAACGCGATAAAATCCGTAAAAATAGTTTTAACCAATGCCATTATTTATTTATCCATTACAGCCTATCAAAAGTCCTCTACTGAACCTAGGTTTCCCCATAGATAGCCTCATAAAGGGAATATTTGCCATCGTTCTCTCACTTAATACCTCTCACAGAGTACCAGCGTATAATAGCAGCTTAATGCTTCTGTGTTTCGTATGGTCAGTGTAGAACCGGACACCCGTTTTACTTAAAACGAGGCATTCCATTTTATTACTCAGAGGTGACAACTGAATTTTTTTTATTCTTAATTGAGTAAAGTAAAGTAAAGTAAAAGTTACAGCCTATATACGTCCCACTGCTGGGCACAGGCCTCCCCTAATTTCTGAGGGGGTTTTAGGGCAAGGTAGTGTCCGCCGCGCTGCCCCAATGCGTGTTGGCGAACTTCACATGTCTTCGAAATATTTTTTTCTTAATCCTCAGACATGCAGGTTTCCTCACGATGTTTTCCTTCACCGCCGAGCACGTGGTAATTAATTGAGTATGAATGTAGATTTATATGAGCCACAGTACTGACCTAGTATCAAGTGGACTGTGTGCTCGTTTGTCCTACTTATTCCATATAAAAAAAAACTCGATAAGTTGGATATTTGTATTATTTTGTTATCAGGAAGATATTAACGGAAGATACAACAGGTTGATTTTAGGATCCCTAGAGGTTCTATAAATATAGGGTAGTTATTTCTCTGCTGCAGCTGTTATCTGTCAATATAAAGATTCTGTCTTCACAAACATTTCAGATATTTGCAGTGCGTGGTATATTTTCAGTTACGCATAATATATTTAAGCTTTTTCGGTGCGTATATTTTCTTATCTTTGACTGGTGAATATGAATTAGAAATAAAATCGTCATTATTTGCATTTGAAAACGACTTACTTGATCGCTAGAGAAGTCCCATTTTCTTTTTATATATAGACATACTAATAAAATAAATAAAGGTTTATCGATTTTTGTTGTAATTGAGAACGAAATTACTTATGAATAAATACTTTTTGTCTCTTGTCTTGTGTTGTCTTGGCTTGTGAAATAATTTCACACATAATACTACAACTGGTTTGGCATCCATAAAGGTGTAAGACAGGGCTGTGTGGCTTCCCCGTGGTTGTTCAACCTATTTATGGACAGTTGTTTGCAAAATTTGAAAGTTGAAGAATGCGGATTAAGAATGGGTGAGTTAACCATCAAATGCCTTTTGTACGCCGATGATCAAGTTATTCTTGCGTCGTTGGCGGCTGAGTTGCAAATGATGTTTACATTAATGAACAGATCATTAAAAGAAAGGGGTATGAAAGTGAACGCAAGTAAGACGAAAATTATGATTTTTTGAAAGAGATGAAAGTAAAACGATATGTGAAATAAGAATAGATGGGGAGTTGATTGAGCAAGTAGATGAGTTTGTATATTTGGGTTGCGTATTTAGCAGGGATGGGAGATATGATAAGGATATAGAACGACGAGTGAACGCAGGAAACAGAGTAAATGGGGCCCTGCACTCTATTGTGAAGAGTCAAAATGTGTCAAAAAAGGCACGTATGGCAATTCACAATGCTGTGTTGGTCCCTACTTTAACGTATGGTAGTGAAAGTTGGGTGTGGCAGAAGAAGCACGAGAGTAGAATAAATGCAGTAGAAATGCGGTCGTTAAGGAGTATGTTAGGGCTGAATCTGAATGACAGGGTGAAGAATTGTGTGATAAGAGAAGAGTGTGGTTTGCAAGATGATATTGTGACCAGGATTAAGAAAGGAATGCTTCGGTGGTTTGGTCATGTGGAAAGAATGGATGAGGAAAGAGTGACAAAGAAAATTTATGTTGCAGAAGTGAATGGCAGAGTCGGAAAGGGACGTCCTAGGCGAAAATTTATTGACCAAATTGGCGATTTATTGAAAACGGGCCAAATTAGGAGTACCCTTAACCGACGAGCATGCATGCGTAGATGTATGGATGTGAAGGAGGCGAGAGAGGTGTGTCAGGATCGTGCCAAATGGAAGTCTGTAGTCTCTGCCTACCCCTCTGGGTGACAGGCGTGAGTGTTTATGTATTATGTTAATACTACAACATATTGATGACATTTTTTTAGTAAATTATAGGACACAAGTGCATTTACTCTCATATTTATAGCATAGCAAGAAGAGACCAAATGTCACCACTTCATATTTCAAACGACACGCATGAATTATACGGCACATCTTCAGCTATAGGTTTGTCTCTATTTAAATTATTCGAAAATTAAATAGGTAACAGCTAGATGAGTATATAGGTTCCCTACCCCATATCATCCTGTGGGTGTCGTAAGAGGCGACGGAGGGAAACAAATCAGGAGATGGGCAGCAGCGTCTTCCTAATAACGACGAAAAATTAAAACTGCGGTTGCCAACCCGCTTGCCAAGCGTGGCAACTAGGGAAAATATCCTCACTATGAGGAAACTATAAGGGGGGTGGGGATTGGGGGGAAGGTTGTCAGCAGTGGACTTTATCAGGCTATAAGGTTAACGAAAAGTTAAATTATAAATTTACTCTCTATGTACATGTAATGTTGTCAAGTTTTTAAAACACGACAACTACAAGTTACTTATAAACAGAGAAACTGACGTAAAATTCTATAGATTTTTCTCGTGAGTATAGAGCTGGATGGTAATTTAAACTTCAACTAAGCGTGCATTATTGTCAGATTTCAGTCTAATTGGGTTCCGGTACCTTAAACGGAATAGACAAAATAGCCCATATCCGGTTAACGCTGTCATTTCCCTTCCTCTTCGAACGACGTTAACCGACTATTGCCCTTGTGTAAGTAGGGCTTAAAATTTATTCTTCCTTGAAAGATGACAAAATGTCCTCGATACAGCTTTCCAATATAATCAAAATAAACTTTTCGTAGTCACCTGTGTTGTTACTAACAGATAATATATTGTTATAGCAGGATAATCTAATATAATAGGTTAGGGTAGTATTATAAAATATTAAAAAAAATAACAGCCTTTACAGGTCCCACTACTGGGTACTGGCTGACCTGCCGACTGCCTCGTTAGTCTAGTGGTTATAAACGCGACTACTGATTATGAGGTACCAGGTTGGAATCCCGGGTAGGACTGAAAAAATAGTTATAGAGTTTTTCCGTCAAGAAAAACTCAGCATCTGTCCGGAGTAAGGAAGTTGGCGGTGTGACAATCCCGTGCCTCAGAAAGCACTTTTTTTTTATTTTTTTTATAGGATAGGGTGACAAACGAGCACGCAGTCCACCTGATGGTAAGTGGTTGCTGCGGCCCATAGATATCTACATCTATCTTCCATTACAAATCAAAATGCAGATGCGTTGTCACCCGTGAGGACTAACGAACGCTCCATTTCCAGCAAAAAGGGTCTCCGGTTCTCTACACTCACCATACGAAACACAGCAGCATTAAGCTACTTTTCACGCTGGTATTCTGTGAGAGCGTGGTCCTTCCCCGGTCGAGCCGACCCTCGTGCTACAACTATACTACTAATATAATTGCAGCATGGCTCTACCACGTATATACTGATTCTCCACCTGGTGCTGCGCCTAATCTACCCCCCTTTGTGTCGGTTTACCGTCCCATCGAAATATGAGAGAGAGGGAATAGAGAGT